CCCCCCATCCTGTGACCGCCCCCCATCCTGTGACCACCCCCCATACTGTGACTACACCCCATCCTGCGACCACCCCCATGCCTCCGCAAACACCCACCTGTCAGCTCACACTCCCCGGCTCTTTCCGGGGCTCTATCTCGGGGATACCCAAATTCCCTCTGCTATCTCCACGGTGTCTTAGGGAGAAAGGAAGGTGCAGATGTGTGTGTAGTGTACCACCTTTGGTGTGAAAGCTCAGGGCGGATGCATGGGGAGGAAAGAACAGGACTGACCCGGAGGACGAGTTCATCCTGGACGTGACTAGATGAAGGACAACTTCTCAGTGGGAGTCTTTTCAAAACTGTAGTTTTGGCTTTTGAACCATTCCATTTTTCTTCAAGTCTCTGTCTCATCAAACAAAGCAACATAAAATTGAATCCAAACCTGCCGTCTGAACACAAACCTAGAATGGACATTCCACATTCCAATTCCATCTCGGGTAGAGGGTGAAAATTTCGTATCCACACACGAGTTGCATTCTGATACCTCATCCTTCCCCATACTCCGGCTCCCCACAGACCCCACCTGGTTCTCCATATTCTCACCCCACGTCTGATTTCATCTGTCTTCCTCAGGTCTGAACAGGCGCCAGGATGGCCCGTAATCTTTTATCTTCTGAGACACATGTCACACTGTTCCCTTCTCGTCCTTTCACTCTTCCGTCAGGCTCCTAGGCTGAGCTTGCTCACCTAACCACTGTCCGGGGAGGGACCACAGGCATCTCCCGTATGCCTGACATGTGGACGTGAGGGCCACACACAATGGACAGTGGGGGAAAGAGGGTTCAAGAGGAGCAGAGTCTGGGGCATTCTGAGTTGAAGGGAGGCTGTGGAAGGCAGGATGGTCAGGGTGGGGCACAGTAAGTCTGTGACAGGGCCCTCTCTCACCCCCACCCACAGATATTCCCACTGATCTCACAGTCCCGCTGGCTGGTCAAGAGCGGGGAGCTGACAGCCCTGGAGTTCAGCGCATCCCCAGGGCTGCGGAGGAAGCTGAACACGCGCCCCGTCCACCTGCACCTCTTCAATGACCGCCTGCTGCTGTCTAGGCCCCGAGAGTCAGTTGGGGAGGGGCCGGCCCAGGAGGGTGGGGTGGGGTGGGAGAGGAGGACTGGAGGACTGGAGCCCCCTCAGTGGCTCCACCCATGGAACCAGTTACAGCCTAGAGAACGGAAAGCCCAACAAGAAAGGGGGTAGCCCAGGTTATGTCATGGGGTCCCACAGCAGGACCAGCTCTGGGTTATAGACACAGGCAAGATGTAGCAAATTAGCAAATCATGTCTCAGACAGATCTTCTGGAGACTTCCTTGGGCTCAGCTCAGTCCACTAGCCTGACGGTACTTACCCAGATCCTGACCCTCACGTCCTAAACCAAAAAACAAACCAACTGTAGTCAAGACGACTCAGTCTCAGGGCAACCCCATGTGTGTCAGAGTAGAACTGAGCTCCATAGAATTTTCAGTGATTGGTTTTTCAGAAGTAGATCACCAAGCTTTTCTTCCAAGTCCACCTCTGGGTGGACTCAAGCTGCCAACCTCTTGGTTAGCAGCTGGGTGTGTTAACTGTTTGCACCATCCAGGGACTCCTCAGCCCTAAGGGCCTTGGAAAGTGTGTAGTGGTTCTGTCTCTTGAGCTCTTTGAGGTGTAAAGTGTCCATTGCACTGAGCATATGGTTTGCCAAACTGGTAGCAAGTTCCCTGGGGTTCTGGGGCCACCACACTGGGAGCAAGGTCAGAACCAGCTATGGTTTGCATGGGAATTTGCAGGCTGCAGATGCTAAGACTGAGGATTTTGGATCTAAGTTTATGAGGGTGGACAGAGAACGGGGTATACAGGGGACAGGTTGAAAACCCTGTGTTCGCAGGGGCAGTCGATTCCTGGTGTTCGACCACGCCCCCTTCTCCGCTGTCCGTGGGGAGAAGTGTGAGATGAAGCTGCACGGTGCTCACAAGAACCTCTTCCGGCTCTTCCTGCTGCACAACACCCAGGGCTCCCAGGCCGAGTTCCTCTTCCGCACGGAGACTCAGTGAGACAGGGCTGGATGCGGGAGTCGGGCAGAGGGTCCAGGGACCAGCTGTGGTATGGCTGGTCCACCCCACTGGGGGCACCATAGGAAAACTAGACCCAAGAGCAGGCATGGCATGGCTGGCCACCCCCACTGGGGGCATCATGGGAAGACCAGACCCAACCCAAGGCACAGCACTGGCTATCCCACCCCACTGGGGGCACCATAGAAAAACTAGACCCAAGAGCAGGCATGGCATGGCTGGCCACCCCCACTGGGGGCATCGTCGAAAGACCAGACCCAACCCCAGGCACAGCACTGGCTAGCCCACCCAACTGGGGGCACCATAGAAAAACTAGACCCAAGAGCAGCCGTGGTATGGCTGGTCCACCCCACTGGGGGCGTTGTAGAAAGACCAGACCCAAGACCAGCTATGATTGCTGATATGAAAGATGGAAGAGTTTCTTCTTTAGAAAGTTTGACATAACGTCTAAGAGTCTGAGGACTCATGTTGTAGACCCTGTTCGATTCTGTCCCTCGGAAGATGCTTCAGGGTGGGCTCAATGGCACCTGTCCTCACTAAGGGAACAGAGGGGCTTGGAAGGTGTGTGTTTGTAAATTTCACGTTACGTCAGGCAGTCAGACAGACTCATGCCTGTGGTGTGGACTTTGAGCAGCATCTTCCTGGGATGATGTAAGTACAAGCTGCCAATTACTCAGGCGGGTTTGGAAGCAGAGGCCAAGGTAACGTGAAAGGCTTCAGATAACTGCAAGATTAGGATGGGATTACATTATGTGACTAAAAAAAAAAGTAGATTTCTCTCCCTGATCTAATTAAGATTGCGGAGTGATTTTCTTCTCTGAGATATTTGACTGGAGATGGGCAGTGGACTGTCAATCGAGAATTATGCAAAGTAATTGTCGTTAGGTGCGGTCAAGTCGGTTCCGACTCATAGCGACCCTATGCACCACAGAACGAAACACTGCACGGTTCTGCGCCATGCTCACAATCGTTGTTATGCTTAAGCCCATTGTTGCAGCCATTGTGTCAATCCATCTCATTGAGGGTCTTCGTCTTTTTCTCTGACCCTCAACTTTACCAAACATGATGCAAAGTAATGGAACCTAAGCAGAGATGAACTTCCTGCGTCACACAATTTCCCTCATGGAAAAGCGACCTGTGTGTACTTGACAGTTGACTCTGTTTCCCCACTTGAAAGTCAGTGCCGGGAGCCATCAGGAGGAGAAGCCTGGGAAGAAAAAGGAGTAAACACATAATTACCTCAGAGTTCAAGTTACTGAAGGGGCGCTGGGCTTGTGTTAAAACCAGTAAACCAGTTGCTGTCGAGCGGACTTCGACTCACAGTGACCTTGCGTGTGTCAGAGTAGAACTGAGCTCCGTAGGGTTTTCAGCGGCTGATTTTTCGGAAGCAGATCACCAGTGCTTTCTTCCAAGATGCTTCTGGGTGGGCTCCAACCTCCAACCTTTCAGTTAGCAGCTGAGCGCATTAACCATTTGCACCACCCAGGGACTCCGAGTTTCTGCTTAGGGTGACTAAACACATCTGGAAATGGATGGTGGTCATGGTTGTACAGCGCAGTGATTGTAATTAATGTCACTGAATTGTATTTTCTTTTTAAGTGCAAGTGCAAAGTAGCAATGACAATGCAATTTAATTATCTTTAAAAAGAAAAAAAGAGTTGAAGGTCTTGTCATATTTCTGAGCGAGAAGCACCCCACTGCCTTTCATCCCAGCAGTCACTGACCTGGCCGAGTTCCCCCGGCCGGTGTCCCCTCAGCCCCTGCCCTCACTGGAGCTGTGGTACAAGCACTGCCCCTTGTCTTCCAGAAGCGAGAAGCTCCGGTGGATCTCAGCATTGGCCTTGCCCAAAGAGGAGATGGACCTCCTGGAGTGTTATGGTGAGTGAGGATCTGACAGGGAGGGGAAAGTGCCGGGGCCAGGGGTCACCTTCCATACAGGGGCTTAGGGGGCAACCTTTTACTGCTTATCCCCAGGATTTCAGGGTGGAAGACTGGCCACGGAGCTCAAAGACCTGAGACCCACCTGCTTACAACCGCTCATCACCCTGGCGATGCCCCCTTCCACTCCCTCTCCGGGGCAATCGCTTGCTCCCTTTGAATCTGTGTCCCCTGGTGTCTGCTGCTGTTTTACCCAGGCTCTGGGCCCCCAGGGCCGCCATGGCACACAACTTTGTGTCTGTGTTCACACCGGGGGAGCAGTTCTTCTTGTCCAGTCTTGGCCCACAGCTGTCCCCCAGCTAGGAGGATGTAGAGGAACAGTGACTCAGAAACAGACGTTGGTAGCAGGCTCTGACAGTTTCCATGGTCTGCCGGTGGGTGAGGAGGGTGGGATGAACCTTCTTCCTTCCCTGTGACCTGTGAATGGCACATGGGATGAGCTGTAGAGAAAGGAGTAGCATCGTCATGCAGTGTCCCGTTTGTGTTCTGGGAGAGTCCATGCAGTGTGGTAAAGTAGGAAGGGACAAAACCCATGCCAGAAGGAATGTTCTGGGTCCACGTCTTCTGAGGCTTGTTACCGTGAGCTTCAAAAACTGTGGAACTTGGAAACAGATAATGGTGACGGTTGAACAGTGTGATGAACATGATTGATGCCACTGAATTGTCCGTGTGAAGAATGTTGACGTGGCAAATATTTTGTTACATAAATATCTACCACCATAAAAAAACAAATGGGAGTGGGATAAACAATGGGACATCCCCCTGGTTCACGAAAACACAGCAATGTAGAAGATCCTGAATTTGCTCAGGAGTCATCTTGATCAGCCCAGTGACTGAGAGATGAGGACGCTGACGTTGCAGGAAGTCAGTACCTTGGGGCACGCCTGGAGCCTATGGTTACAGCTCTCTGCTCCCACATCTGGTGCTGGGAAGGAAAGGGAGAACTAGGCACTGACTGAGATTTGACAGTCCAGTCAGAGAGGCACACAGACAGGAAACAAGTGGAGAGACGCCTGATGGCCAGGTATAGACCATCGGTGTTCTGGAGCTCAGAGTCATCCACTACTAAAGACAGGGTCTTCAGAGGGAGGAAGGGTCTGTGGTGGATCTCTCGGGGCTGTGGTGGACCTCGAGGGTCTGTAGTGGACCTTGTGGGTCTCTGGTGGACTTTGAGGGTCTGTGGTGGACCTCGGGAGTCTGTAGTGGATCTTGGGGGTCTGAGGTGGACCTTGAGGTTCTGTGGTGGATCTCAGAGGTCTGTGGTAGACTTCGAGGTTCTGTCGTGGATCTTGGGGGTCTGTGGTAGACCTTGAGGGTCCTTGGTGGACCTCAGGGGTCTGTAGTGGACCTTGAGGGTCTGTGGTGGACCTCGAGGGTCAGTGGTGGATCTCGGGGATCTGTGGTGGACCTCGGGGGTCTGTAGTGGATCATGGGGGTCTGAGGTGGACCTCGAGTTTCTGTGGTGGATCTCAGGGATCTGTGGTGAATCTCGGGGGTCTGTGGTGGACCTCAGGGGTCTGTGGTGGATCTCGAGGGTCTCTAATCACGGGTTACATGTATTTCTTGGTTCATCTTCCCTGGGAATGTAGGATGTTTAACCTATTGCGATTCTGGTATTTCTGTTTCCCTAACAACCATTTTGGTCCCTGGTAGAAGGTGAAAGTTTTTCCAATTTCTTTTTTGTACCTTCAACAGCCCAAACCCATCTCTGTCCCAAGCCTCCCCACCTCCCCCTGCAGCTGACTCTCTTCATCCAGGCACCTGACTCTCTTCCATCTTCTCTGCCCCAGACTCCCCACAGGTGCAATGCCTTCGAGCCTATAAGCCCCGTGAGAACGATGAGCTGGCACTGGAGAAGGCTGATGTGGTGATGGTGACACAGCAGAGCAGTGATGGTGAGGGGGGGTTCATGAGGATGGATGGGCCAGGCACTGGGGTGCAGGTGGGACAGTGGGGAGCAGGGATGGTAAGGGAGGTTCATGGGGAAGGGGCCAGGAACTGGGGTGCAGGTGGGGACGGTGAGAAGCTGTAGACTTGGCCAGCCCCAGGCAGCCTTGGTCAGTGGTTGGAAGCAGGACTTGCTGTGTGGAGAACTCTCTAGGGGTACGCCAGTGTGTTCAGCCTTAGGATTCAGACATGTTCCAGGAAGGGCCCTGGGAAGAGTCTTCCTAGGTAACTCGCCCCTCACCTGCAGGCTGGCTGGAGGGCGTGAGGCTGTCGGATGGGGAGCGAGGCTGGTTCCCACAGCAACAAGTGGAGTTCATCTCCAACCGAGATGTCTGCGCACGGAACCTGAAGGAAGCGCAGCGCGTCAAGACTGCCAGACTGCAGCTGGTGGAGCAGCAGGCCTAGCTGTCCTGGGGGCCCGAAGCATATGGACACAAAGTCCCTCCGCCTGCAAGGAGACCACAGCGCCCAGGACCTAGCCGCTGCCTCCCGTCTGTGCTCTGGCCTCGGGGAGCCTTTTCTCGCAGGAAACAGGACCAAGGGGGCCTGAGCCGAGGAACATGACTTCTACTGCTGTACAGTCCTTAGTCTCTGCTACAGAGGCAGGTGTGGAGCTGGCCGCGGTTTCCATGACGGTGGCTTTATGTCAAGCAGGGTTTGACCTCAGGCTCCTGGGGGAGATGTGTAGGGGGGTGAGCACACCAGATGGGACGGCCAACCTGGTGGCCTTGAAGACACCTCCTGACCCTGGAGCTTCTCCGTAACTATGTGTGTGGTCGGGCGTTTCCACTGGGCTCTGGTGTGTTGGTGGCCACGTGAGGGTAGGACTCCCTCACTCTAATAAACATGGCGCTTCTCTGACTGCTTCCTTCTGAGTGAGGTTCAGAACACAGGGTCCCCTGAGGATCCCAGCCTGTGTGATTTAGGTTACAGTGGCCGTTGACCTCTGCCCATGACCCCTGAGAGTTTGGGCTGTTTCTCTGCTTGCTATGGCCTCAGAGGCTATAGGTCTTTTACATGCAAGTTCAGACCAAGTAACCTCCAAAGTCCCATCCAACTCTAACAACATACTAACAATATAGTCTATTCTCGTGAGTGCTGGTAGTTTGTTCTGTAAAGTCCCCACAGACACCAAATTAGTAAATATCGATTGTCGTCAAATTGACTCCAACTCATGGGAACCCATGTATGTCAGAGTAGAACTGTTCTTCATAGTGTTTCCAATGACTGATTTTTTTGGAAGTAGATCACCAGGCCTTTCTTCCAAGGTACCTCTGGGTGGACTCAAACTTCCAACCTTTCGGTTAGCAGCTGAGGATTAACCATTTGTACCACCCAGGGACTCATAGCAAATAGCAAACCAGCCTTATTCAGCCCTAATTTATCATGACTGAACAAAATCACCGCGAGTATTATTAGCAATTAGGCAGATTCAAGAATACAGAATCCATGACAAATGAGTATGCATTAGTATGTATTTCTGTAATACGTATACATGATAGACATGTATATGAATATATGTCATATACAAATTATTCTTTCCTCACATTGTCTTTCCCAGCTGAGGACTGGTCTAGGTGTCTTTCTCATTTAGATCCCCCATGCAATAGTAACACAGTCAACTTTTAAGCTGGATCATTATATTCCTGCCTTGGACATTCTCCTACTCAGTTTTATCTTTGTTGTTGTTGTTAGGGGCCATTGAGTCAGTTCCAACTCATCGCGACCCTATGTACAACAGAACAAAACACTGCCTGGTCCTGCGCCATCCTCAGAATTGTTGCTATGTTTGAGGCCATTGCTGCAGCCACTGTGTCAATCCATCTCGTTGAGGGTCTTACCAGTCTCTTTTGCTGACCATCTACTTTACCACACATGATGTCTTCCTCCAGAGACTGGTCCCTCCTGATAACATGTCCAAAGTGCATGAGACAAAGTCTCACCGTCCTGGCTTCATAGAAGTGTTCTGCCTGTACTTCTTCCAAGACAGATTTGTTCATTCTTCTGACAGTCCATGGTATATTCAATATTCTTCACCAACACCATGATTCAAAGGCGTCAATTCTTCTTCGGTCTTCTTTTGGTCCAGCTTTCACATGCATATGAGGCAATTGAAAATACCATGGCTTGGGTCAGGTGCACCTTAGTCCTCAAAGTGACTTCTTTGTTTTTTAACACTTTAAAGAGGTCTTTTGCAGCAGATTTGCCCAAAAGTAGAACTGCATTGCAACATTGTAACACTATAAACTTTGTCTAACACCCAGTTAAGGACGATGTGACTTGACAGTAACCCACTGTCATCCAGTCGATTCTGACTCATAGCAACGCTATAATACGACTCTGTTTTCCACCCATCCGAAAATACAAGTTAGCGTGTGTGATTTTTTTAAAAATGTTCTCACTATAGTAATTAAGATGGGGCTAATACTCTTTAGCAAGTTGATACTGCTAAAATTTCTAAAATAGGAATAGTTTTAGAGAAGGTTAATTAGGGTTGTCACTATTTCCATGAAGCCAGCTTTTTATTATTAATATATGAATGGTGTATTAATATGTACGCTTATGTGTATTAATATTTATTGTTAGGTGCCATCAAATGGGTTCTGACTCATAGTGACCCAGTGTACAACAGAAGGAAACACTGCCCAGTCCTGCTCCATCCTCACAATCATTGCCATGCTTGAGCCTATTGTTGCAACCACCCTGTCAGTCCATCTAGTCAAGGGTCTTCCTCTTTTTAGCTGATCCTCTATTTTACCAAGCATATTAATATATAAACTAATAATTGGCTCTGGTTAATAGCAATAACAATAATTATAATCTGAAATATTTTGTTCAAACCAGTATTTGAATACTGGCCAAATGGCTCAAACAGAGGCATCTCCAACTTTGTATTTTCCAGGTAAATTCTCCATTATTTTCCCAGAGAGGTAAACTGTTAACTTCTGAATGATACCCATGTAAATAAGTCTCTGAGTTGGGTGCTGCTTCTTTGCTTGAAGTTCCTAAGGCTTTCTGATCACCTCTGAAGCCATGTTCTGTAAAACTTCTAGCTAAAATTAGTCCTTAGATATTTAATATACATTTATTCAATTGGGTTATTTTCACCAAACCTGAGAAATTACAAAGGCATTTGGCTTCTATCTTTCTTTATGTCCTCAGTTTAAAAAAAAAACAAAAAAAGGAGAGAGACATAGCTGATCACTCCTTTTTTGAAAAATTAAGAAATATTATCTACTTTGAGTTTGGGAGTATCGGGTACAGATCTACTTATTGCATCCTTCTTCCTCAGGCTTTCAGAAATTAACTCAGCTTCATTTGTATCCTGGTTGGTAATGTTGGCTTAGAAACACAGCATTTCTTATGAGATGTTATGAAAATAACCATAAACCAACACTGTTGGACAAAAACGCATTTGAAGCATGTGTTGGTTAAGGTTCTGTGTCAGCTTGGCCGGGCTGTGATTCTCAGGGGTTTGGCAGTTAGGATGTCGTTTGGCAGTCGTGTGGTGTTGTGATCACCTCCATGATGAGATCTGGTATAATGTGATCACCTCCACGATGGGATGTGCTGTGAGTCGCCAATCAGTTGAAAGGGAATTTCCTTGGGTGTGTGGCCTGCATCCTATATAGGTGAACTTTCTGGCAAGGCTCGGGGGCTTTTGCTCGGTCTGGATCCTGCAGCTGGCTCCCGTTCCTCTGACCTCCGGTTCTTGGGACTTGAGCTAGCAGCTTAACTGCCATCTTGCCTGCCAATCTTGGGATTCATCCATCTTCACGCAGCCTGTGAACAAGAGACCTGCTCTCTCAGCTGCCATTCTTGGGTTCACTAGCCCCTGCAGCTAATCAGAAGAAGCTCTATCCTGACCCACAAACTTGGGACATTCCAGCCTTTACAACTGCATGAGCCATTTCCTTGATATAAATCTGTCTCTGTCTCTGTCTATATATATATATGTACATATATATATGCTTTACTGGTTTTGCTTCTCTAGAGGTCTCAGGCTAAGACAAGGCATATCTGAATATATTTTGTTGGAGTTTTGTTTTTTTTTTTTCAGCAAAACCATGCAAAGGGATGGTGTCTTCAGGAGACAGGTAAAAATAGTCCCTGTTGTGGACCCTTTTCTGAGTTTGTAACCTATCTGGAGCTCAAAATTACATAGCTATATGCTGAATAATTTCCCTTGGGCACTGGGCACATAGAATTCCATCGGTCACTTTCGTCCACTCCCACAGCCTAGAAAGTTTTTCTTTAAAGCTGATTCTCACCCCCTGCTTTTCACTTCGTGTTAACTGACTTTAACATTTTTATGGGGCACTCTTTGCCCTATCTCCATCATTTCCAATGATTTTAATGAGATCAGTCTATACATTAACACTTGATTGTGCGCTTAATTGTGTTCATGCAGAACCTGTACATAGACCAAGAGGCAGTCATTCGAACAGAGCAAGGGAATACTGCATGGTTTAAAATCAAGAAGGGTGTGTGTCGGGTTGCATACTTCCATCATACTTATTCAGCCTGTATGCTGAGCAAATAATCCGAGAAGCTGGACTATAAAAAAGAACGAGGCATCAGAATTGGAGGAGGATTTATTAATAACCTGCAGTATGCAAATGACAACCTTGTTTGCTGAAAGTGAAGAGGACTTGAAGCACTTACTGATGAAGATCAAAGACTACAGCCTTCGGTATGGATTACACCTCAGCATAAAGAAAATAAAAATCCTCACAACTGGACCAATAAGCAACATCATAATAAATAGAGAAAAGATTGAAGTTGTCAAGGATTTCATTTGTCTTGGCTCCACAATCAATGCCCATGGAAGCATCAGTCAAGAGACTGAATGACCTATTGCATCGGGCAAATGTGCAAAACAACTGAAGTGTTAAAAAGCAAAGACGTCACTTTGAGGACTAAGGTGTGCCTGACCCAAGCCATGATATTTTCAATTGCCTCATATGCATGCCGAAGCTGGACAATGAATAAGGAAGACCAAAGAAGAACTGATGCCTCTGAATTCTGGTGTTGGCAAAGAATGTTGACTATACCATGGACTGCCAGAAGAACTAACAGATCTGTCTTGGAAGAAATACAAGTAGCAAGGATGGCAAGACTTTGTCTTACCTATTTTGGACATGTTATCAGAAGGGATGAGTCTTCGGAGAAGGACATCGTGCTTGGTAGAGTGTCAGCAAAAAAGAAGAAGACCCTCACCAAGATGGACTGACACAGTGGCTGCAACAAAGGGCTCAACATAGCAACAACTGTGAGGATGGCGCTGTACTGGGCAGTGTTTTGTTCTGTGTTACATAGGGTCACTATGAGTTGGAACCAACTCATAAGCACCTAACAACAACAATTATCCACACGTTAGTATCTGGAAGGTCCCTAGTTTGAGATGTGTTT